GCCCTCTTCTGGCCTCTGAGGGCATGGCATTCATGTGCACATAGCACTCCCTAATACACATGATAAAAATAAAATGAATCTAAAAACAATTTCAAGCAATCTCTTTTTACTCTTACAAGAAAATCTCTCTAAAGTAAGTAGAGTAATTACTCTTTTGAAGAAGTAGACTCCGAAAGCTAAGTGACTTGTGTTTGGAACAAGATTCCATTAGGAAGTATTTAAATTTAAATTTACTTTATTTACTTATTTTTATGTATATGAGTATTTTGTTTAGATGTATATCAGTAAGTGCACCCATGTATGAAATGCCCATGGAGGCCAGAAGAGGAGGTCAGATTCCCTGGAACTAGAGTTACAGTTACAGAGGGTTGTTAACCACCGAATGCTGGTCTTCTGCAAGAGCAGCCAGTGCTTCTAACTGGCTGAGCTCTCTCTAGCCCTATTTTAAAATTTTAATATCAGGTCTTTTGAATCACTGTTGAATATCTTTTCCATATTATCACAGAACATGTTGGCTACATCTTGTCATCGTCATCGTCTTTGTAGTCAGGAGTGTTGGGTGGCTTGGTCGGTTTAACCCAGATGTTTTTTGGGGTGCCACTGTGACACCTGAGTAGTGGCATGGTTTTTTAGAATGGCTGGGGTCGGATGGCCAGGGCTTGGGGACTTTGTCTGGTTGCGGAGAGTGTTCTGAGTCCCCCATGGTGGGGGCCGAGGGTGGCTGCAGGGAGTCCCTGGACAGGGAAGTCAAGACAGGACCTGGGCAGGTTTCAGGTCTGGGTGTGGCCCACACACCTGGGAGGGTGAGCTGTAGCCTGGCTACCTGCCATTCCGTGGTGGGCCCACACACCAATAAGGGCCATGGTGTGATCCTGGCCGCTTGGATCTAATGAAGTCAGGGAGAGTTGAACCAAGTGAAAGAAAAGCAGTTAGAATAAATGAATAATTCTGCTTTTTAAAAAATATACTAGCCTTTTACCACATAATAAAGAGAGGGAGGAGGGAGATGATGTTTGTAGAACCAGAAAGACATCAGACAAGAATTTAATTCCCTTTCTCTGATACCCTCTCCTAGAGGAAGTTTTACATTTTCTTTGTTTCTTTGTAGAACCAGAAAGACATCAGACAAGAATTTAATTCCCTTTCTCTGATATCCTCTCCTAGAGGAAGTTTTACATTTTCTTTGTTTCTTTGTTTTTCTTTTTTTCTTTCTTTCTTTCTTTCTTTCTTTCTTTCTTTCTTTCTTTCTTTCTTTCTCTCTCTCTCTCTCTCTCTCTCTCTTTCTTTCTTTCTGGTCTTTCTGTCTCTCTCTCTCCCTCTGTCTTTCTTTCTGTCTCTTTCTCTCTCCATCTTTCTTTTCTCCCTCTCCCTCTTCCTCTTCCTCTCCCTCTCCCTCTCCCTCTCGCTCTCCCTCTCCCTCGTCTTTTTGAGACAGGATCTTCCTGTAGATCCATATGGCCGGGAACTCACTATGTAGACCAGGTTGTTCTTGAACTTGCAGGAGATCCACCTGCCTCTGCCTCCCAAGTGCTGAGATTAAAGGAGTTTGTGAAATTTAAATTTTCTTGTAGGTAGGCATCCATAATGAACTGAGAAAAAAGAGATGATCCTTCTGTACAGAATTAAGGCAGAATTCCCCTAAAGTGTTTATCCTGATGATTCTAAATTAGGAAGGGAAAGAAAGGGTAGAATTCATATTGAGAGAGCAGGCATCAGATACCCTGGAACTGGAGTTACCAATGATTGTTAACCACCATGTGGGTGCTGGGATTCGAACTCGGATCTTCTGCAAGAACAGTCAGTGCTCTTAACCGCTGAGCCATCTCTCCAGCCCTGACAATTCTAAATCTTAAAGTTTTTACATTTTACTACTCATTAGAAACTGAACACATAAAATCAGTATCTCAATGAAATTTCTTTTCTATTGGAGTGGAGAGGATTTGAATCAAGGCCTCACTATGTAAAACAGACTACTCTAGAACTTACTATGTAGACGAAGCTGGCCTTGAACACATGATCCTCATGCATTCTGCTCCCAAGCACTGGAAATATGGGCATGAACCAGCGTAAGTGGCTCTGTATTTTCCCATGTAATTAGAGTATAAGCAACAAAACAGTAAATTAAAATACATAAAATGTAACTATGCCAATATAAAATTCTCATTACCTGTGTGAATACTCATATGTTCCTGAAGACTCCGTTTGGTAACAAATGATTTAACACACAATTCACACTGGAACTGCTTTTGTGATTGA